AGGAAGTTCAGTTTAAAATTAATCTACTGGATGCAAAAGCAGCAACAAAGATCACAGCTGAAACATCAGACCCATTAAGGTTCTCTGTGGTTTTAAACAAGCTGCAGGCTGATCCGACTGCCAGAACCATGAACCATTCCAAGTCATCTGACAATCAGTTTTCTCCTCAAAAAATAAAAGGTTATTTACTTCGCTTTCTCTGTAAGATTGGGGTTCTTTCATGAATGGTGTCCAGGTTTTTCAGCACTTTTAGCCTTTATAACATTTGATCCAGTTATGCCTCCAACATCCATGAACAGATACATACACTGCAAAAAAAGATCTAAAATTAAGCAAAAACTTCTGAAATTAAGTGCATTTCCATCATGGAATGAGTATTTTTACTCTTCAAATAAGATTAGATAATATACATGAAATAAGAAAATGCAATTGTTTTTTTTTTATTATTTTAATTGCCAATAGTCTTGTTCCATTGGCAAATTGACTTACCTCCTCAATTCAAGAAAAAAAATGAACCTATTTTAAGAAAAAAATAACTTTAGATTTCCGGGGTTTTTTTTGTTTTTTTTTTGTTTTTTTACAGTGTATTAAACACAGTTAATTTATCAAATGATGGATTCAGTTTTTGTAAAACTATTACAGATGCAGAACAGAAAAATCCCGAAGATACCGCTTTGCAGGCCATTGAAAAATAGACTTAAGCCATAAACTTCAAACGTCGGTTTGGACAACCTCTAGTTTGTAACGATCCAGTTTAGGCTAGACCAGATCTCGAAGGATAGATAAAGATTAAATCCAGACAGGAAGGGAAATAAGCCCTTTAGTTCAATGCAGAACCTTTGAGTCATTGTGCCACTCCCAGTAGTATGCTGCCCAGGGCAGAGAACCATTTCTGCCCTTATTGAAAACCACCACTACCAGGAGAGACGCCCATCAAAGTATAGATTAGCTTGATTCCTGTTATGTGAAGATGTATGTTACTGGAGGAAAATTACTTTCACTGCTGTTGTAGTTTAAGCTAATATGACACTGGTTACCAGTTGGTTTTATTTGCTCCTCGCCTAACAGAACAGAAGTAAACCATCAGTTTACTTGCATTGCAAAATTAGAAAGGGTTACATCAAGTTTAGCAGAGTATCAGGAAAAACAAAACAAAAATCCGTCTTCTTCACTCTTGGTTTTAATAATGTTGGGATGATCAGTGTTAAGAAGCACACCACCAGCAATGTCTGAGGGATAACAGAAGGACAGCAGTAGTTTTCTTTGTTGCCTTTTTGGTTTGTGACATCTTATTTGTGCAGGTTTGTGTCCTCAGTGGGAGGAAGAATAGTTTCTAAGTGGTTGTTTTTTTGTTTTGTTTTTATTCCACCTTTATATAAAAACCTAAAATATGTGGATTAGCAAGGTGTTTTCACTGCTTTGACATTTAGATTACTGAATTCTGTGTCTGATTCTTACCTCGATCAATACTGACTTTTGTTTTAAGAACTATAACAAATAAGCTGGGCCGACGGTTCCTTGATAAAAGGTAAAACAATTACAACAATATCCCCATTTATGAATGTAACTGTATGGATCTTATGGTTTGAATTTTGCTATTTGCCAGAAAACCCATCAAAGTAAATGCTCTTTTTAGTATTCATTGATGGAAAATAGTTTTTTTTTTTTTTTTTTTTTAAATGAGACCTCTTATGCCAATCAGCTCCAATTAATTCATAATACAAAAACATTAAATCTGATTTTCTCTACTTCTTTCCCCGTTAAATGGACAGTAAACAGGAATGATCTTTTTTTCTCTTCCCATTTCGATAACACTTATTGCTTTCTTTAAAATGCTCAGTAGATATTTTTGAATTTTCAATAACTGCATACAGTTTTCCTTCTTCCCAGTACGTCTTTGAGCTTTTCACACTCTGGTTCAGTTCAGTTTCAAGTGAGTGGATTCATCAAAGACACAGCCTCCCCTCTCCATCAGATGGTCTCTGTCCCTGGCAGAAGTAGGACAATGTCATCCGTTCATGTTTCTGAGGGAAGATTTAGTCTGGTGAGCAAGACGAGGCAGCAGTTGAACCTGCAGCAAACAGCGGGGCAGTGGTTGCTAGTTCAACTCCCTGCTGCTTTTGCTGACATCAGTAGGGCGTGAAGAGAATGGATCCTTGGTTGGTTCTGATCGGTCCAGGAGCTGGACGCAGGAAGGAGGCAGTGAAGAGGGACGAGGAAGACGGAGGGCGAGGATGGAGGGAGATGGTTGGGGCGAGGGGTGAGGAGGTGGGTGAGAGAAGAGCAGAGGAGGAAAGAGATGATGGAGGGAGGGAGATGGAAGATGGGAGTGGGGAGGATGGGGAAGGAAAAGAAGAGGAAAGAAAGGAAGATAGGGAAGGCTTCACCAGCTCCTTCTGAGGAAAGAAGGAGAGGAGTGATGAGGTGATGGCAGGAGGAGTCAAAAACGAAGAGGAAAGCATCAAATTAAGAAGATTAAATAAATAGAAATGGAGAAGCAAAACTCCAAACAGTAAAAATAAAAAAATGGTCACAAAAGCATAAAAATAGGCAAAAAGGAGAATAACAAAGAAACAAAAAGGACAAAAAAGTATAAAAGAGGAACGCATGACAGGAAATGTGATGAAAAGACAAGCAGGCAGAGGAGAAGAGATGAAATGGAAAAACAGAGGAGGAAAATAAAGATTTACAGAGAAAGGAATATTCAAATAAAGGAGCACATCAAATGAGGACAAAAAGTAGAAAATTAGATTCAGTTTATATCTATTTTTCTTGGTGAATAAAACATTTTCAGATGAAGGAAAAGTTGCCAGAGGATACTCACAGTAAGTGAGCTGCGCTGCTGCTTGTTGTAAGGGCTGTATTTGGGTTTGCTGGGTTTTCCTGCCACTCTGTCCTTGTGTCTTCTGCTTGAAATGTGCTGCAAAGTTCCAAACAGCATAATCAGAACATGAAGCTTTACCCAAAGATTAAGTTTTTCATACTCATATATAAAGTACTTATCTATAATCAGCTCTTAGTTTATACAGTAGCTGGATTAAGAATGGAAGTTCTACAAGGACGGTTTGATTGTTTAAAAGGGTTATTTGACTAAAATAGTCATTACAGACGTTAGTGAACTAGGAAGCCATGTGAAATCTTCAGCAAATATCATCCAACGTAAATTATATACACACACAAAAAAAAATCTGATCTCCATTTTTTTTTTTTTTTTTTTAAACATATCCAATTAATCTGTTTTATTAATTAAGCTTCATAACAAAAATGACAGGTTTCAAGCATCCTCATCTGGGAGGGGACCTTAATTTAAAATGTATGCTTTTAAACATGCTTGTAAAATAATTTCCCCAACAAACAATGAAAATATAACACTAAATGTTTGCAGCATAGTGAGTGACATCACTGATCAGTGCACATTTAGGAACCAAAAGTTAAGAACTGATGCCACTGTCAACCATGGTAGCCAAATAATGGATTGGTAAAACCAAAAAATATGATCTTCTCAAAATTAAATCTTCATAAACAAAAATTTCAGTAATTGATTTAAACAAATAATTACCCAGCTTAGCTGTTTTAGTTTTTTTTGTCTTGATAATCAGATTCTTAACCATCAGCAGAATTAGACTGACAGGCAATAGCAAATATATAAATAGAGAAAGGAAAGTAAAATCGGACCAAAATGGCAAAACATGAGTAAGATCAGAGGGAGCAACAAAAATCAAGAGTCTAATCATCACATGACTTTGGCCTACCTGTTTGAGCTGTATTTCAGAGTTGACATGAACGTCACAGATCTGGCAGTGGAAGGTCTTGTTCTGCAGGCCTGAGCCCTTCAGGACTGAGCCGTTGGCGTTTTTCAGCTTGGCTCCTGGTCGTGGGTACGCTTTGATTGGGCCTGCACCACTGCGAGCCTCCAGCATTGTTTTGTGCTTTGATCCTTAGAAACAAAAAAACCCCAAAACATTAGGGTAGACTTTACACTGAGAGACAAAAAGAATAGAAGGTCAAAGAATCAAGCCAGGACAAAAGACAGAAAAAAAAAAAAAAGATTTCAAACATGCATGCACTTATTTCCTGGAATTATTTAGAGAAGAAGCTAAACTTTCTTTGAACTGTAACTGAATAAGGAAAAAACATCTTATTTATTTAGGCAGTTATGCTATTCTTGATGCCTCTCGGGCAGCTTATTTTTGGCACATAACTTGATTGTTCTTTTGCATTCATTTTTATTAGTCATTGTCATGCAATTTATTCATGGTAGGATGTGATAGAAATACCTGCATGAATAAAGATATAAAAAAAAAATAAAGGTAACACTGAAATTATACATTCTAGATCTGAATAAATAAAAATACTTTGTTCTATATGTTGAATACTTTGCTGAACATGCTGACAACAAAAATCATTGATGGAAATCCAATTTAACAACAAATGGAGGCCTTGATTTGGAGTCACACACAAAATTAAAGTGGAAAAACACACTACAGTACAGCTGATCCAACTTTGATGTAATGTCTTTAAAATAGGTAAAAATGAGGCTCAGTATTGCGTTTGGCCTCCATGTACCTGCAGGACCTCCCTACAACACCTGAGCATGCTCCTGTTGAGGTGTGGATGGTCTCATGAGAAATCTCATCCCAGACCTGGACTTTGTGATTATAATGTGATGAAATGTCAAAAGAGTAAGTAGTTTGGCACATCCCTATGCAATTAAGAGATTCAAATAAGCTTAAAAATGACTGAACACAGATTGTCTGGCACTGTATTCAGAAAGGCCTAGGCAATCCTAAGAGTAGGGCGAAGTTAGGATTGACAGTACGAAGATCTCATTAAAACATGTGCACATAATGCCTTAATGTGTTTAAGCATGGGGGGGATATGGATAATGAGATATGACCCATTTAACTCACATTTAATCTGTACTGAAACCAAACATGCAAAACTACAATTAATAACGACACAAAATGCATCTAGTTTCTTTCCTAACCTGCATTATGAGCCTCCAGCTGAGACAGAGAGTTGACGGCAACTTTACAAAGAGAGCAGTACAGCAGCTTCTTTGCCTTCTCCTCCTCAGACTCCACCGACAGAGGAGCTTCCTGGGAGGAGGAGGTCGTCTTTAGAGAAGGAGGTGCAGCGCTGGATGGGGAGGAGATGACTGAAGATGCGGGGCAGGATTTTGAGGAGGAAGAGGATGAGGAAGAAGATGAGAGGCCAGGTGCAGGAAGAGCAGAGGGTGGACTTGATGGTGGAGGCTCACTGCCGACTCTGCTGGCAGAGGGTGAGGAGGAAAGAGGTGAGGTGGAGGAGGGGAGGCAGGATTTAGGAGAAGACAGAGAGTCTCTGGAGCTCGATAGTAGTTCTGCATAGAGAAGGAGAAATAGGAGGAGTGAATCTCATATAAATAGCTGGAGTATTCAGCTTGGAGTTAGTTATCTGAAGATAAATTGAACCTGTGCACTGACTGTTACTGCAGTTGGAGGAAAGCGGATGGACCGAACCAGCAGGACCACAGCTGTTCCCATTGGTCTCTGGGGTGCCCGACAGCTTAGCTTTGGCCTTGTTCTCCTGAGACTTCAGCTTCTTAGCATGGCGACTGCCTCTATAATGAGCCTCTGCCTGAGACTGAAGAGGAAAAAAAAAGAACAGAGAGCCAATTTGCTTTCCCTATTTTTTATTATTTCTTTTAATCTCATTGACCTTTGTCACCCTTTTGGATTTCTTGATCTCATTACTCATTACACTCATTACTTGTAATTCACATAGAACAAGCAAGCAGAGTGTTTCATAGCAGCACTGTCAGCAAGAAAAAGTTGATCGGCGATCATGCATTTTACTGATCATCATAACATCCTACTACAGTGCAAGACTGCTGATTATAAACAAGAATCCTCAGTTTTCTTTGCTGGAAATACAGAAGATTTCTGCCCCTCCACCATCAGTATCAGCCTTGCTGTAGAGGATGAGGTACCATTCTTACATCAGGTTATACCTTTTAGAGCTTAGAGAGGGTTTTCCTGACCTTTTGGTTTTGTAAGTTCTTTTATACTTGTTTAGCAACCAGCATGTATACCCTCATACATCTAGTAGGTAGAAAGCATTAACAAAACCCAACATGACAGGAGGCAAAGGGCCATTTAAAACCCAATGAGACATTTCAAAATATGAGATCCTTGCAACTGATTTACTGTACCTTTTAAAGCTGACAGAATAACTTTAGTCAGATGTATTAAAAGAAAAAACAACCAAAAATACTTGGTCTACAAACAATCTATAAAGTCCAGCCTATGTGCAGTTTAGATTTGTGTGTGCTTCTGACAAGTTCTTGACCGTTTAGAGCATTTAATGTAACAGGAACAAAAGTGTTCTCTATCTGCTGAAATACAGCCTAAGCAGCTTTGTAGTGTTTGGATCCAATTATTTATTTGTTAATTTAGCATCAGTTGGGTTCTCTTTTAAAATCAAAAATAATCACACTCAATAAAATGGAATTATTTTCCACATAATCGATTCAGTTTTCTGTGACAAAACATAATTTCCTCTCATCCATGTGACCCAGAATGGCTTCTTAGTAACCTTCCTGAAAGATTTCCATGCATCCAAAAGGAGAAGGGTCCTTGTATGAGATATGAGCAAGTTTTCCTTTATGGGAGAAGTTTTAAACCTCAATCTAATTTCGATAAATCATGTCTTGAAATGATTAACAGCACCTTCACAAAACCATTAAAGTCTGTTGCAAGATGTGACAGCTCAGTCACATGTCATAGCCAATTGGTGTAAGTGTAGAAGAGTGATGAATCTGACTTGAGGTCATATTCTGTGAAATATCCTCATCTTACTGCCTCTGCTGAAACGTCAATGTTCAAAGCCAAGACAAGCAGAGAGGAGCAAGCAGGACATTGAGAGAATCAATAAAAGGGAACTTCTCAAGTATGAATTAAAATATTTTTTATTTTTTAATTCAGTTTGCTAAAAGCCCAAATATCATTTTACAGCTAGAGAACAAAATACTTTCAATCTCACGGTTATAATGGATAAAAATTAGCTTCGAACATGTCTAGAGAAGAATAATAAAGTATGATATATGGGTATGAATAAAGAAATAGTTGATTTTAGTAAAAAAAACCCTTTCAAATATTGTGACTGAATGTGAAGCTTTTTAATGGAAACAAAACAAGGAGTACTTTTGCTTTTCACAGAGATCCTCTACATACAAACCTGTGCAAGCAGTGAGCATAAAGGATTTGTGTTCATCCATCATCCGCTCTGTTGGAAACCTTTCTGCCTAAATAGTTAGAAACCAATGAAAACAACAAGCCTGAGAGACAAAGACAAACACGTCGTGTCAAAGTTAACACGGACAGCTTTGATTCAGGAGCCTGGCCAATGATGCGTTCACAGGTGGAGAAATGTAGCCTCGTGAGACCATCCTGATCTCGCGTGCTTTCAAGGTTTCACTTGCAGATCAGTCTGGAGACT